TCTAAGAGGGAAAGGTTTACTACCACTGTTTACAGATTTAAGCAAACAGAGCATGCATGTTATTGGATATAACAGTGATATCATTAAATGATACAGGCAACTGCAAACATTTGTCTGGGTCCAGCATATAACACATTTCATACAGTGTCTCTCAACCTTAGCAACTAAGATGATTAAAGGCCTGGAGACTAAAACATATGAAGAACGGTTGCAGGATTTGGGTTTGGCTAGTCCAGAGAAAAGAAGGCCTAAGGGACGTGATCGCAGGATTCCAGTATTTGAAGGGCTGCCACAAAGAAGAGGGGCTCAACTTATTTTCCAAAGCACCAGAGGGCAGGGCAAGAAACAATGGGGGGAAAATTGTGGGCGCTCCATCCCTGGAGGTTTTTAAGAAGAAAATGGACAGCCACTTGTCTGAAATAGTATAGAGTATCTCCTGCTTGAGCAGGAGGCTGGACTAGAAGACCTCCAAGGTCCCTTCCAGCTCTATTCTGATTGATTGGTTGAACTTTAGCATAATTCTGGGTGTTGAAGTTCACATATTTTAAAGTTGCCAATGTTGAGAAACACTGACTTAATGAGGTCATTAAAGCATTAGAAAGCCAGTTTGTTAAGGGTTAAAGATTCCAGGCTAGAAACCAGGAGACGATGAGTTCTAGTCCTACCTTAGCCGTGAAAGCTGGCTGGGTGACTTTGAGCCAGTCAGGCCAATTCACCTCACAGGGTCGTTGTTGTGGGGAAAATAAGGGGAAACAAGGAATATTAGGTATGGTTGCTGCCTATAAAAATAATCAGGGTGGGATACAAATAAATAACTGTTAGGTAAGGACTGGGCTTTTGAAAAACAAAGAGACAGCTTTTCAAAAACATGGCTTATTTTTAGGAGTTGTTTACATTTCCATAGCTTTGTTCAATACTCATGGTGTTTTTCTATTTGTCCGTATTCTTTGGCATTTTACAACATGTTATTAGTTGAGCTGACAGTTTAATTCCCCTGAACATGTCTATTTGGGTTGGAGAATTTTAGTTTGATTGCTCAAATTCTCCTTTACGATGATTCCCAAATAGTCATCTCTAACTTGGAAGGACAGGCATTGTAAACTAAAGAATTTGGTTCACATTCATCGGAGTAAATGGATCTAATAACTCTTATGGAATGCAAACTGTATTGGATGGTGGTTTTCACTCCTTTTATGGACCCCCATTGGGGACGCGGTGGCTCCGTGCATAAGACTCTGAGCTTGCCAATCAGAAAGGTCGGCAGTTTGGCGGTTCGAATCCCTAGCGCCATGTTATGGAGTGAGCTCCCGTTACTTGTCCCAGCTTCTGCCAACCTAGCAGTTCGAAAGCATGTGAAGATGCAAGTAGAAAAATAGGGACCCTTTTGGTGGGAAGGGAACAGCGTTCCATGCGCCTTTGGCGTCTAGTCATGCCGGCCACGCGATCTTGGAGACGTCTTCGGACAACGCTGGCTCTTTGGCTTTGTAACGAAGATGAGCACCGCCCCCTAGAGCCAGAAACAACTAGCACGTACGTGCGAGGGGAACCTTTACCTTTAGGCCCCCATTGAGACATTGTGATGCAGGTTCATCCCCAGTTCTTTGATGTTATCCTCTCCTGCTTCATTCTCCAGGTCCATATCCGTCTTGATGAAAACAAAAAATGGAAGCCCCGGACCGATTTGTGGAACTCATTGCCAATGAAAAAACAAGGTAAACTGGATGTTAAACACGTTACAGCTTGGCATCAAATACAGCGGTTGGTTTATTTGGCGGTTAACTTAGCATGTCTTTAATGATGAACACTATGGGAGGCTAACGAAGTCCATGGAGGTTCTCATCCACCCAGGTCATAGTTGTGTCAAAGGTGCTTTTTCAAAAGACAACTGGATGATGTTTCTATTTGAGGAACGAAGAAGTTTCACTTCTTGTTCAAGAAACTTCATCAGTTGGGACTGGATGGTGGGATTACCTTTTCCTTCCATTGCCCCCAAAGTCCTGCTAGAACCGATGAAGCTTCTTGGATGAGAAGTGAAATGTCTTCTTATTCTTCCTCAAGGAAAAACAATCCTTTTGAAAAAGCACCTTGAAAAACTACAGCTAGTCTTTGACTTACGTAATTTCTATCGATAAGCGAGACAGAGATTAAGTGAATTTTGCCCCATGTCAACAACCTTTTTTTTGCCACAGTTGTTAAATGAATCACTGGAGTTGTTCAGTTAGTAACATGGTTGTTAAGTGATTCTGGCTTCCCCATTGACTTGGCTTGCCAGAAAATCTCAACAGGGGTCCCCAGGGCACTGCAGCCATCATAAATATGAGTTGCCAAGCATCTGAATTTTGATCACAGGACAATGGGGATGCTGCAATAGTCATGTGAAAAACGGTCATAACTCACTTTTTTCAGTGCTGTTGTAACTTCGAATGGTCACTAAAGGAACTGTTGTAAGCCGTGGACTACCTGTATTGGAGACCGTTTCTTCCTTGGGCTTCTATGCATCAGTAGTTATTGTGGCCCACCAGCGGCCAGTGGAGCTGGCGGAAGACTCGGACAGTGAGGAGGTCGGGGAGGAAGATGGGCCAGTCCTGGAGTTTGGGGAAGGCTCTGAGGAGTGCTCTGCGTCGAAGGCAGAGATGGGGCCAGGGCCGTCTGACAGTTATCAGTTGCCTTCGGAGTCTGAGATCAGTGGGGCAGAAGAACAGCTGGAGCCTGTTTCCGATGTGCGCATGCACAGAGCTGCCAGGAGAAGGAAACAGTTAAGGAACAAGGGTTGACTCGGGAGTAAAGGTACAGGTGGACAGTGAATGGCCTCTCCCATAGGGAATGAAGAGGAGCGAAAGGGAAGTGCTATTTGCAGGAGACAATTAGTTCATTTAATTAGGGTGAAGATTTGTTCCTGACTCCTTGCCAAGTAATTGCTGCTACAGCGTGGCATTTGATGATGTTACCTAGTTGGATAATGAAATGTATGCAAAAAAAAGCCCAGAGAGCACAAAGGACTCTACTCTTGTAAAGATCTGATGTGGGCCAGAGAAAAGATATAAAATTCTACTTAGAGTAACAGAGTTCAAAGGGACCTTGGAGGTCTTCTAGTCCAACCCCCTGCTTAGGCGGGAAACCCTACACCAGGGGTTGCCAACCTTTTATACCTCAGCGACACCAAACTCATCATTTTAAATCCGAGGATCAGAGACCCTGGGAAAATCCCCCAAAAAGTCTGCAGGAAAATTCCCCATTCCCGTTTTCCTACGGATCAATCGTTCTTTATTTGGGATCGCAGGATACCGTCTCCAGCTCCGTTCTCACGGGGAGAGAGAAAGAGAGACTTTTAGCTTCATGCAAGGAAAGCAGCAGAAGTCTTCCTTTCTCTCCCCCAAACTCCGCCAGAAATGAGTCTTGGCCGGTGCAGCCTCTTGGAGCAGGAGGCCTTGCAGGGTCCCAAAGACTCATTTCTGATGGAGTTTGGGGGCGAGAAAGAAAGACTTTGGCTGCTTTCCTTGCGTGCAGCCAAAAGTAGAAGAAGAAAGAATTGGAAAGAAGCAGCCCAGTGGCCAGGCTAGGCACGTGGGGCAAGTTTCCCCCCTCCGCCCTTTCCCCCCTTCCCTCACTACCTTGTGTTCTCAATGCAAGCGACGCAAGCCTTGTGTTCCCGCGGGCCATGTGGGCGGCACAGCCTTGTGTTCCCGCACAGCCTGGATTAATTGCTTTGGGGGTGACCTTTCTCTGCGGACCACCAAAATTTTCTCACGGACCACCAGTGGTTCCCAGCCCACTGATTGGCGACCATTGCCCTACACCACTTCAGACAAATAGTTGTCCAATCTCTTCTGAAAAAACTTCCAGTGTTGGAGCACTTGCAACTTCTGGAGGCAAGTTGTTCCACTGATTAATTATTTTGTCAGGAAATTGTTCCTTAGTTCTAAGTTGCTTCTCTCCTTGATTAGTTTCCACCCATTGCTTCTTGTCCTGCCTTTAGGGGATTTGGAGAATAGCTTGACTCCCTCTTCTATGTGGCAGCCCCTGAGATATTGGAACCCTGCTATCATGTCACCATCAGCCCTTCTTTTCATTAAACTAGACATACCCAGTTCCTGCAACCATTCTTCATATGTTTTAGCCTCCAGTCCCCTAATCCTCTTTGTTGCTCTTCTCTGCACTCTTTCTAGAATCTCAACATCTTTTTTACATCGTGGCGACCAAAACTGGATGCAGGATTCCAAGCGTGGCTTTACTAAGGCCTTATAAAGTGGTATTAACACTTCACCTGATCTTGATTCTATCCCTCTGTTTATGCAGCCTAGGACTGTGTTGGCTTTTTTGGCAGCTGCAGTACCCGGCTGGCTCATATTTATTATTGTATTGCATTTAGTTCTTCCTAGCTAGATTAGCAAAAACAAAGTTATTCCAGTTTTAATAGATGCTTGACGTGTAAATGCATGCAAATCATTACTTTCATCTTTAATTTTTCATTCATTGGATACAGGGAAAATCTTGAGCTACTGGTGTTTCAGCCCCGGACTCAGCATGCAGGAATTGGTTCGTCAGGGAGTCCGCAGCATCATTCTGACTAGCGGGACCCTTTCCCCGCTCTCCACTTTTGCTTTGGAGATGCAGATGTGAGTCCTGCTTTATTTCCTTTTTGAATTAATTAAAAATAGTAATTAATAGCAAAGCTGGCTGAGGAATTCTGGGAATTGAAGTCCACAAGTCTTAAAGTTGCCAAGGATGGACACCCCTGATCTATACCATAGATCAGGGGTTCCCAACCTGGGGGTGCGAGACGATATTCCAGGGGGTGCGAGAAAAGTCCAGGTAAATAATAGGATATTGGCTATATGTTGGCATTTTTATTGATTATTTATTTCAGGGGGTACGAGGTTCGGGTGAAATTTCTTTAGGGGTGCGGGGCGAAAAAAAGGTTGGGAACCACTGCCATAGATGTACGCCCCAATCAAATGACTCTGGACAGCTTAGAGATTGTAAAAAGATAAACAAAAAAGCAGTTAACATTTTAAAATGGTGACTGTTGTTTTATTTTTATTGTTTTATTCCCTCATTGTTTACCAGGAGGGGGGGAAGTTTCCACCCCCCCCTCTGGTGTTATTGTTGTAAGCCACCCAGAATAGCCCCACAGCAAGATGGGCAGCAAATACATTTCACACATAAATAAACAAATGAACAAACAAATCAATGCAAATGCTTTAAATAAGTAAATATAGTCCCAATTTGAATAGAGGCCTTGCAGTTAAGGTACCAGACTAGAAAGCCAATGAGTTCTAGTCCCCCCTTAGCTATGAAAGCGCTCTCTCTCTCTCGCTCTCCTTCCCTCCCTCCTTCCCTCTCTCTCTCCCTCCCT